TTTTGAAATATTTACATTGCTGACGGGGTTCATCATTAACATCATGTAGTGAGCTTCTTTCCGTGTCTCTTTTTCTTTGAGCTCTCAGTTTGGACGTCTTGTAAGTGATAATTTTAATTAGTGATATTCGTGAGTACGACTTCCGACATGGAACTAGCATGCAAGGAGCAGGCTATATTGTTCAGCGATGAGAAGTTATTGTACTTACTTGGCTATGTATTTTATGGTCAAAGTTTTAACCTTTTATCAAATCGGTTTTATTATAAGGTAAAACGACGGCAATTGTGCAGATTATACAGATTGTCAAAATGTTAAGTCAATCACATAGCTTCAAAACAAGCTAAATGATTCCGAATAAGAAGTTAGTTATATTTGTCGTCTGTACCCACCAAGTGTCAAAGGATGTGTGAAAGTAACAATTTCAACTGAACAATCGTAAATCCAGAGCCGTCGATTTACCGTTCTTTATACATGCACAGAGCATCTCCAACTACTATCAACTCACGACAGGTCTTGACATCTATTATACCTTTTTCTGAGTTAATTTGATAAAAATAAACCAAAGTTATCGTACTTAACATTAAGGTCACTGTTTTTTTCAATTAACTCACATTGTGATACATGGAGCAAAAGCTTCTCCTGTTCAATTTCAACATCATATAAAACCCAGACAACTGCTTTTGTTTATACGTACCAGCTAATATCACTCAAGCAGCTCACGGGAATGGGTTTACAACTCTTGTCAACACTTGCGTTCGGATAGTTGGCCTTTTAAGGGAGGCATGGAGGCCAACATGGGCTCCAACGTAAGTAACTCCGCTGATATATCTAGGTATGATGTGTTTTGTCCGGAGGCGTGTCTGTCACCAGGAAGTATTCCTGTAATTAAATGGGTATTTACAGACACAATGTAAGACCACTTCAGGTACTGATCACTATTTGGCTTCTAAAAAAATAGCCAATTATATTTGTCACAATGGTTTGTTATAGGTCACATGGTATTTTAGACATGATTAAGTAGTACCATACCTTTGGCGACATAGCATTGATGATGCACTGGCAAAAGACAAGAAACATGGTGTAGAAATATTCTCTCATTTTCAGCCCCATATGTTCCTCTTGTTATTTTCTTCGTTGGGACATATGCCGTAGTACGAAGTAGCAACAGGAATATTTCCCGAAAAGTAAGTTTTAATGAACTATCTAATTCAGGGAATTTTTGGTATGAAGTATGTCATCTGTTTGTGTAAGCTTAAAGCGTCATTGGTTAGATAGATGGAATCTTTACATGGACCACAGATACTGATTTACTGACTTATTTAACATATGTAATGGTCGATGAATTAAATATATCACCATTTACATATAAAATAGTTGTAACTTGCAATTGTGTCCAATTTCTGATATATAAAAAACTCTAATCTGAGAGAATGGTGTTTTCAGTACAACAGTTTACTTTTTATAATATTACATAAGTATTATTACTGGTTTTATGTAGCTTAACACAATAACCACCTCTTATCTCTAAATAGAGTTATGCTAAAAAATGGTAATTTATAAACAACTTCATTTAAGATTTTATATATTGGTGTGAAAACAAATAATGAGTAAATTTAAAGTATTGAATGTATATAATTTGAGATTAACGCGTTTACTATGTGACTTCATTTTCTATGCAATCTCAAATCACAAAACTGTTGGACTGGACCCAAATCATAAGTAATCTCTAAATAGCTCCTGGGAAGCAATCTGGTAGTAGTTACTTGTGCAAGATGTCGATGTTGTGAGGTCAGTACACAGTGTCAACAACATTCTTTTAGATATACTACTGAGGAAAAGAAAACAGACAAAGCACATTTGCAGGGTGACCACACGCGAAATAAGGAAGTTCCTGTTAGGTACAAAGCGACTCAAAATCAGCTATTGGGGGTGTTCACATAATACGTAATCAGTTTTTGGAACATTTTTTAACCCCCCTTTCCCCTCCGTATCAGATTTCCACAAAGTATTGTGTCAAATTACCTATCGTTATTTTGGAAAACCTTCCTCCCTCGGTGAGTACGTAATTATGTGAGCGACCCTGTGAACCAGGTACTATACTTGAAACATATAACAACCGTTGTGTGAATATGTCTTTTCCGCCAGGCCTAAAAAAACCTCACCCGTTCATAAAATGGTACGAATCGATAGCGCTCGATTTAAAATTTTTGGCAAATACGCGAATGGCCGCAAATTGTGTAACTTATTCAATGCTTGTTACATTGCTTTTTACGAAATAAAGTGTGTCCTAATTGCACATGGAATGTGCGCAGCGTACGAGGCGAACAACCGTCATTGACGGGTGATGTTACTGGTTAAAATTTTGTCTCTAAAGACCGTCGACGAGTCCGCTCGCGTTTTTGTAGGTTTATAAACCTACCAAAAATTGCAATGCTTTACAGTTTGGGATTTGCAAATTATACTCGTCTAAATTTCTTCGATGGATGCGCACGCTTGCTTCCTTTTGATATCACCTGAAAACAATGTCATGGTCCCTGCTCTAGTATAATTTTCCGACCTTTCTTCCCCCCACTCAATTTCAAAGAGCCGTATCAAAAAGCTCTTACGTGAAAACCCAGCTAATTGACAACATGGGCGTCCAGTGAAATTGAGTGGCTCCCTCCTAATTGCTGGAATTGTAACCAGCTTTGTCTATCAGCATCCCTTCCCTTGCATACATCTAAATTACAAAAGCGCTTATTAGACCTGTTTCAAAAGCATCCCTGTCTGAATGTTACCTGACTGCCGTGTGAATTCTTTGGATCTATTTTTGGATCTATTTTTTATTGGATATGATTTTTATATACATTTATATTACCTCGCTTATTTCCATGTCCGCCTGAAACAAACCTGGCACATCCTAAATCCTACTCCCCACCCCTAGAAACCCCAGACGCATCAAGCCTAGTCTGAATTCAAAACTAGGTGACCTGCTTCGTTAAGTTTCCTGGACAACTCGAACCTTTTGGGCCATGCACAAGCCAATAGCATGTATGGTCCTGCAGTGGGGTCTCCTTTGTCCTTGGATCTGTGTTTTTGATCCGTCTTTTCTTAAAATTTTCCATTTGTGTCACTTTAGAAGCACCTTTTTAAAATTGTTAATCGACACCACTGGTCCTAGTTAAATTTAGCCATGGCACGACTACTCGAAACGTATCAGTTATATGGTGTGAATTACTATTATATTCTTATAATTATTTCTTATGAATCGATTGCATGCTAATAAATAAAAATACTTTGTTTTACTAAAAATTACTTTGTTTTACTAAAGCGCAAAAGCGGTGGGTTGCATTTCATTAACAATTGAAAAGTTTGGGATTGTGCTTTGACATTTTCCTAGCTTGATGTTCCTTGTGTGATCCTCTCATCGTATTTTTCTTCTGTACGCGACGTTCATGAAGCTTGAAAAAAGCGGCGTGCAAAGCGCTAGTGACTGCTGCCATGTTAAAATAAGGGGTAAACTAAAAGAAAAAATCCGAAAAACACTTTTATTCGAGGTAGACGTGCATTTTGATTGTTATGTTAAATTATTATATTGCAATTGTTTTATCGACGGCTTAATGAAGAGATATGGGACTCTGAATTTTTGGTATAGTGTTGGAGGTCTCGCCGCTTCGACTGCGCCGCAGCGAACTTAGCATTCTTGCTTCGCATCTTCGATGGAGTCATGCGTCGTACGTTCGGCGTCGCGTCGACGTTGCTCTGCTTCGCAGAGCAAACGATTCTGGTCGGATTGACTTTGTCAATCAAGGTATAGCGCGCCAAAAACTTAAACATTGTATAACTTTTTCATTTCATTACCCAGCGTGATTTACCAGCGCCAGAATTATGAAATGGCGCCGCTCGCTCGCGCTATATCCGTAAACTTGCAGTATTTATATTCTTTATATTTTTTATTTTGTATCTCTTACTAGTAAAAACAGCGAAAATTATAAGTTGTACTCAACACTCTACGTTTTGGACCCCAATGTTAAACCTTGCAGCAACTGTGACAGCCCAATATACTCTAGTAGTATGATCACACCTTTTTAATTGAACAAAGATCATAATTAAATATAATTCAGATTCTCAATCTACAGCAAGCCAGTTCTCCGTGTGTGTGGTGTCCTTCTCCTTTCTGTGTCCCGTCGTTTTGTTTTGTGAAAGTATTGTAGTAGTGTTTTAATATGTAAGCGATCGTAAATCAAATAGTTACTATTACAAACACATATTACTATTTTAATAATTGATAATATCGATATATCCCAACAACCAATCATTAAATTATTCTTTAATAACCTTCTATTTTATGTGTTAAACGATCGATGGGCATACTAAAATTAGTATTGAACTTCATATATTAGTGCGAGTGCTGATAAATTGAGTAGTGGTTTTTATTTTAAAACCGGTACGGTACATACATTTCTCCAAATGGGCGAGGTAGCAGTGCTGACAGTAGCCTTATGATTCGCTGGAGTCATGGCAGTTCCAGTGTTCATGAGTCCTGCTCCTGATAAACTGGGGTAGACAGGTGTGTAGCCTGTCTTCAGCTCTTCGTAGGTATCTTCTTCTTGTATCACTATGTTATGGTGGCAGTAAGTCTACAACAAGAAAGATATCAGGTAGAGTTAAAGAAAACAAAGTGAAAATAAAGTGAAATAAAGCGAAAATAAAGTGAAAAAAATGAAAATAAGGTCACTAACGGTATTCCCCAGTCAGATGACTGAAAGTATCAGATTCACGTTGCTGCTTCAGAGTGTTCGGTTCTGTTGAGTGAGGGGTGATGCAGGAAATTTCGTCGAGGGGAGTTAGGGACATGTCGTATAAACTCTGGGAAGGTTGGGGCAAGTGAGCATTGTGGGGCAAGTGAGCATTGTGGGGCAAGTGGGGATTGTGGGACAATCGAGGAGCGTCGATTTGAAGTTTAACCACCACTTTGGTAACCTTATTGCGCCGAGAAAACATCTGCTCTACTACGAGAACTATAAGGTTTGCAACTGACAATGAGAAAATGCAAGAAGATTTAAAGGGAAGTGGAAATGACAATGAACTCACGCTTTTCGTGGGAATGAAGTGGAATGGTTTAGACCCGTTAGCTGATTTGAATTGCTCGTCTGAGTCGTTTATGCCGGGGTCTGAGAGATAGCCTCCACTTCCTGTAATATTTTCTGAAACAATAACATCAATACAAAGAAAAGCGGTATTACCAATTACTACCAATCTACTCATGTAAAAGATAGAGTTTGTAAGCTATTATATGAGGAAATGTGACCCCCCCCCCCCCCTCTTGTTACTAAATAGATTCCTCAGTCTCACAACTGATTTCTGAAGTGTACCTGCAGCTTGACGGATGGGGTGCTCAACGGGAGTAAACTTGGACTCCTGTTCGTCAGTTGGAGTGTACCTCTCTGCACTGGGTATAAAACCTTGCGTCATCATCGTATCTGAAGGACCCATCGCTAAAGATTCCTCTATTTCTTCATCCCTAGTTTCATCCTCTTCCGACTTAACGGATTTAAACGTATCGTCCACTTCTGCCATCTCACTTTTTACTTCTGTCACCTCACTTTTTATCCAGGTATCATTTTTGATCTAAAAATAGATCTAATTGTGGATGGTTTGTATGACTCATAACGTACCTAGGAAACTTAATTTATAGTAGTGGCACTTTAAAAGAGGGGTTTATAAAATTTCGACTCATAATATTATTATGGTGACTGCAATTTAGCAGTATTGGTAAGTTAAACAGCTTTATCTTGCTATCTTATCCAATAGAAACTGCAACATCGGTCATTTGATACTATCAATTTACAAAACATACGGATCAGAGCAAAAGGTTGGACACAAAAGAAATCAAAACGATGAAAATGACAATGATGATGATGTAAAAAAACCGTCCAGATTTCGAAGTTTAACTTCAAGTTCTGTACCATGATAAACCAAATATTCTTCAAATGACTGTGTTCGTACAGAGAGCATCATTTTCTAGCTCTAATAGATGTGATAATACTGTTGATTGATCCAGGAATGGCCACCATTAAGAGACAATCTGATTGAGTGAATGTTGAAGGATTGGTGTGGAGTCGTTACAGAAGGAAAGTAATAGTAATTGAAAAGATTGTAACCTCTTTGGAATTTTTCTTTTGAGAAGCAGTAATTTCTTCCCCTTTCTCCCCTTTCTTCCCTTTCTTCCCCTTCTTGCCTTTTTTAGCAGCTTTTTGAGGAGGTGGATTAAGCTTTTCAGTTTTTATCTGAAAAGTCAAGGAATTAACAACTTGAAGCACATAAGACACACAAATGCAGTTAACAGTAGTCCTTAACAGTAGTCCTTGTGTGTAAATACTAGGTACAAGGAGAACAGTTATCGGCAGAACCACCCGAGAAGTCTGGGCTCTTGCAAAGCGCCATTTTTAAAAAATCTATTCGGTAAAATCTATTCTGAGTCAAAAACTTACACAATATTAGATATTGTTGAAACTATTAAAAATTATTAAAATATAGCTATTGAACAAGCATAGCTGAGTACAGTTATAATTGCCTTTAGGATTGTAAAGTTGAAATTATCATATTAATGCACTTTCTGAGTTGTAAGAGTGGAAACAGGCGCATAGCTCAAGCTAGCTAGCTATTTCAAAATTTTGTATTTACGACTGTTATCAGTCGCATAGCATCATGCCGTTGTTGCAGGTGAATTGTTGACAGTGTAACTGAGATGGTATGCATCGTGGGCTATCATGGCTTAAAAATCTCTTCTTTTTTTAAAATGATTGAATCACTTTCTTGTATGTGCACTGTTCAGCGCTAAACAGGACAAAAAATGGCTAATTAGAATTTGCATAGTTCAAGTTGGAACATGTTATATTGAACGCTGTGATTTGGAAAATTGAACAGCCTCATTTCTTGTTTCAACAAAAATAAACTGAAAATGCTTACGAAGATCTTTCCGTAGTCAGTGCCTTCGTATCTGAGAGCTTTGGAAAACTTTGCTCCGGAATCTACTAGCTCTTCAAGTGTGCATGCGATTTCACCCAAAAAATCTGCTTTGGTAATGTCATTTTCGTAGTCATCAATGTCCCAAACTTTGATGATTAACTTTTGTTCTTCATAAGAGTCGTAATCAAGAGTAATCTTTTCTTTAAAAACAGGATTCAACTCATTGTCAATACATTCTGTGCGTCCCAACTGAGAGTGTTATGTTTTCAAAAGTCATGATAAGCAGGATTAATTTTAGGATGAAAATGCTTACTAATGTAACGTTTATTTGGGTTATTTTCCTAAATTTATTGTTTAAATGCCTTAAGAGACATTTTATTTCCACATATAATAGCATTTGATAATATTCCTAATATTTGTCCATAATGTCTGAACTGATAAAAAAGTGCATAATCTTGATATTTCCACACTAAGTCTCGCTTGAATGACTTAAATGTACATCTTTGTTGGTAATATTTTAATGTTGAAGCGTGTAATAAATGTTAAATATTTAAATATTTAAATTGGCACAGGATGAAGATTTCAATCATTAATTACCAAATTGATATTTGATTACGAAATAGCAGCAAAAATTAGATTTGACTTGAAATCATGTTGAACTTACCTCATTGTTGAATTCATCAAATATAGTGACAAGAGGGTCAGACTTAGAAAAGAAATCAGCATCTCTCAAACCAGTGCAGGAGAGGGTAAGCTGGACTTTCTGTTTCATCTCACCATTATATCTATCATTTCAGTGAGTAGTCAATCCATTGCTATGAAGTCATGAATTATTATTATTATTTTAACAGGGGGGGGGGGTCATGAGTATTTTTGAGTATTTTTGAGTATTTTTGAGTATTTTTGAGTATTTTTGAGTATTTTTGAGTATTTTTGAGTATTTTTGAGTATTTTTGCTGGGAATACTCAAAAATGTATCAAAAGTTATTTTTGAATCTGAGAAATTCAGCATGGATTAAGATCTGGGAGATACGCTATCTCAGCATTTAATCAGTGATTTCGTCACCCGATCAGTGATCCCATCAGGAACTATTCGCTAGCATGCAACTAGCAGGGTGGTTGTGGGGTTTAAATTAAGTTACAATTTTTCTGAGAATTCTTTGATCTATTTCAAATGCAAGGATATGTTTTGGATGCATAATATACTGCTGAAACATTCATACAGTGCAGTGATTCAGCTTCTCAGTTAAAATAGTTCAAGACTTCAAAACTTTCTGTTCACATTAGTTCAAAGTCTGGTACGCTGCTTACAAAGTCAAAAAAGCTTCAACTTTGAATTGATAATTTGTTAATGAGTCCTAATCTATGTGAAGCTAATTAAAGCCAGACCACACGTCTTTTGCCCATTGAAGTACTTCATGGCTCGACTCATGGCTCCAGTTCATAAAGACAAGATAATGAAGCAAGAAAATTGAAAATACAAATCTAAAGGACCGCTCCATATTTACACTTGTTCTCCAGACAAAATGATTGTATGAGCATATATCATGTGGGAATTAAAAGTTAGCAGGTCATTATAGTCCAGGATAATGACCTGTAGCTACAATATTTTCTGTACTGTCTAAGTTAGACTGTACAGAAAAGTAAGGTCAGAGGCAACGTTTTGGTGCAGAATGGCACTTTTTAAGCCAACTATTTCTCAAAAACTGAGCGACTCGCAATAGACTGTACACTGTACAGGAGGAACGTAATGCCGGGGGTAATTTGCTGACTGGCCAACTGTGGCTAGATACCCGTCGTCTAGACAACTGTATGCCAAGGGACCCTGGAGCTGGCTTTGTTAACATTCAATTGGTCTCGCTTGCTTGTTAGGTGCAACTCTGGCAATAATTGAAAACAATCAAGACCAAAATATGAATTACCATGAAAGGTTGGCTTCTTCAAAAGGCCAATGAGCAAGTTAATAGTTTATAGTTAATAGTTAATAGTACTACGTTTTTTGCACAACCCAAGGAACATCTGTGCCAAGTTTCAGCTTCTGGGTGTGGCCAGTCTTTTACCGTTAAGGAGTTTGCTATGAAAAAAAAACAGTTTCGAGTAAAACGAGTTTTTTAGTGTTTTTATTTCACTGCCAAAATCTCAAATTGTGCATTGTTTTCCGTATTTAGTAGCGTCTCCATACAATTTTTGCCTTAAGGTGAGAAGATGTTTATTGAGATACTTTATGTCGGCAAAATCAGTATCTTAAACCATAATTTGTCTAAAAATGAGGTTAACTATCATGATATGTTGTGGTGTTAGTAAAAATATGATTATTTAACCTCGCTATAGACCATATTACACTGGGATTGGTTTATCAATATATTGTTACAATGAAACTAATAAATCAATGAAACTAATAAATCAATGTTTTAGCTCATTTTACAAAGTCAAATATTTAAAACAATTAAAATTGTATAGTGCTCAATTTGTAAATGACTAGTTGATCTTTGCTATTGGAAGTTTGTCAAGGACTGGCAGCTAGCGGGGCAAGGAATGCACGGGCTTAGGGGCTTTTGTGCACACCAGAACACTAGCTCGGTAGATTTTTGGAAACTAGAAGGACTGAAAACTAAAATTGTTTTTGATGGAGGCTGAGGCATGTTTTTGAGAGGGACGATATAATAGCTTGTGGTAACAACTGGCCTTTACTTTAATAGGATGAAGTTTTAGTTTTAGGACAGGAAGAAGGCATTAAGAAGATTTGCTCTTTGTTTACAAGGCAGAATATAAGCAATGTTGGTTATAATATGTATCAATATCTAGATCTTCGTTTATCAATTTTCACTAAATGGGTTTAAAATTTTAATAGGGAGGGAAATTCATCAACTTTATTACACATGTAATGAAACATTTGCCAAGTGTAACGATTAAGTTTTTGAGGTTAACATTGACTAGAGGTATATATTGTGTAATATTAAAAAGCCTGCCATCACAGGGAGGAAGCTAATAGTATTATTTGATAGTCAGCTTTTATTGCATCAAAAAATTTCCATCCAAAGTCTGAACCAAAGATACAACGGATTTAAATGGAAAGTACTTTGAACACAACGTTATTGATCACGTACCTTATATACCCGCTTCAGTTACATTATCACAAAATCAGTGTCACATGATCACACAACCACGTGTGTCACATGATCATCCACGCAACTATTTAAAGCATATTCATTCCCAGAATACGGCAGAGTTGGGCAGCGTAATCCCGATACGAAATGTGCGTACTAACTAACCTCAAGGTGTCAGTTCTAAGTAAATCTTAATCACTAAGTATATAAACTTGATTGACGATGTCAACCCTTCCAGATCGTTGCTTTGAGAATTAACAAAGCAACGATCTCGTCTTCGAGGCAAAATAAAAATGACAGTTTGCGCGGCGCTTCTAAGCGGCAAATTCCTCCAATATATAAACGTGATCTGAATAGTAATCATCGCACTAAGTATGAGCATACATGATACAGTATATTATTATTAAGTAAAACAAACTTTTAAGTTTAAAAAAATTTAAATTTTATTGCCATTACAATGAATAATGATATCATAATAAATATAAGTAGACATCCGATAATAAACTTGTTACATCCAGTACAACCCAAGATGTCAGCCAACGCGACTTACAAGAATAAAGAAAGCTAGCATGTTCATTGTTCATAGTTTTTCTAACGAGCATACTTAGGCTGTACGGAAATAGCTTTAATTCTACATCATATTAAAAACTTTACATCATTTTTGAGATACAAAAATAAATTTTAAAATAACTAACTCTTTTGCTGCTTGGGCGCGGCACCGCGCTTGATCCACATGCTATACAGCGTGTAGCAACACAGCACTAAAAACAGAAGATGAAGGAGCTATAACATATAAGCGGTGCGCCACGCCTAAACCTAAAACCATAAACTTTAAATATTGTCAAGATATTATATTATTATTAATTAATATGTATACAATATATTATATCAATGATCCTAGTAAGGCTCCCCCAAGCGTATTGATGAGGTTAAAGTAAAGTAAAGTAAAAATTTTAAATTATGACATAACATCATCACACATGTCTACAAAGTATCAAATCACTATATGGAAAAATATAAATATCTTACAACAAAAATTAATAAATTATTAACTACAACTTTATTAAAAAATTTCAAATAAATTCAAAAGGCATCCCCAAAAGATAACCCCACTCATACTTCCCAGTGGAATAAAGATTTATAAATCGCTTTTTTGCCACAAAAGGGTGGAAATAAGGATAATCGTTATGCTTCTCTTTATTACTAACATAGCTAGGTCCTTCAATTCTCCCTAATACTACATTTGAAACATTCCAAAAATGTGAATCATTAGAAATATCCTTAGAAATCATATCTTTTTCTTAAACCCTTCTAATTTAATTTTAAAACTTAAAACAGTCACCGAGTTCTTAACATCTGGAGGAAGTTTGTTCCAGTAAGGAATAACTCGCTCTGGAAGAAATGAACTTTGGAGATTCCTAATCTTTGCCATACTTTTATGTTGGATGATACAAGATTAAGACCAAATCTGCTCACTTTGAACAAATCTGAGCCGTACTCTGACAAACCATTAATAACCTTAAAAGCTTTTGTCATACGTTGTATGACCCGCCGCGCACGAGTGCGCGGCTTCCCCTGTATCGTCGAAACTCTACAGTAGTGAAGCTACAGTGGGGGTCCCCACGTATTCGCCGCTCTGCCAGCGTTATCAAATTGAGAATTTCCAGTCTACGGCTGTAAGGAAGAGTACCCACCTCATTAATAAAACGGTTAAACCGCCTCTGGACGCTCTCCAGCTCTAAAACAATCCCCCAACTTCCTTTATAGCTCGAACCCTGAGTCATTTATTAATAACCGTTTAGCACGTACAACGTAGCTAAGCATTATTGGATGCGCGCGCGCGACCCAGTAGTGCATCGCGCTACAAAAGATCAAGGTGCTTAACATATTGATTATTAACGGGTGATACTCGTAACATATTTGTTTCAAATATTATTCCGATCCCGACGAGTCCAACTCGGCGCGCGTCCTGGTAGGTTATAACCCTACAAACTGATTACAAATTATGTTGACGCCTTGACGGATGTTACTCGTCTAAATTTCTTCAAAGTACAGTACAGGGGGGCTGAAACCGGATTTTCGATCAATTAACGCTGCCATTTGTAGTCAAACGTCGCCAACAGTTGCTCTCGTCGAATGAAATCGCTGCATTTTGCTTGCCATTATGCGATGCATAATTGAATTATATATATTCGTATGCGAAGCTTGGCTTTCATAATGCTGCGATTTTTGCTCTAACCAGAGCCCTCTCGCTTGCAGTAGCGCGCGACCACTTGTGAAACAAGCGCGTCACGCAGTACGCGTAGACACATGGCTAGGTGAACAGCGATTTCATTGGTCGAAAACAACTGTTGGCGACCGGCTAGTTGACTACAAATGGCTTGTATCACGTTGCGACCCCCACGGTCGTTTCACTATGTGAAACGTCCTGACGATACGAGGGGAGCCGCGCACTTCGTGCGCGGTGGGTCATACAACGTATGACAACAAATGGCAATGTTTGATCGAAAACCTGCATATTACCTGGTTTCAGCTCCCCTGTGAGTAGTGCGCCCTGCGCTTTCTTCTCGGAAATGGCCCGAGGCCGAAGCAAGTGCTACGAAGTAGCGCGCACCGGGCTAGTCCATTAACAATGGACAAAGATTATGAGGACGTTTCGAAAAAGAAAGCAAAGAACCAAGTCAGTGCATGGCGTATTGTAAGA